ATTGTCTAAATATCTTTCACCAACTAGGGTGGTGAAAGATTTGACATCAATTGATTTACCATCAATTTGGAGAATGGTCTTCTGCAGTTTTGTATCCCACAGAAGAGATTGGATTTTATCAATTTCATCTTGGTTCAAACCATCCCATGGGTCATGAAGCCATCCCTCTTCTTGTCGTACCTCCTTCTTTAGATTGACAATGTCACAAAATTTTTTTAGAAGATAAACGCTGTGTTGAGAAAATGTTCCCAAACCACCAACTTTAACAGCTGATGCATTCTTGCATAATCTTTCTGCTTTGTCAACAATTGTCTTGGGAGGTCGTAACAGCAGAGTACATGGATCTGTATCTACAAACTTTCCAGAAACTGGCACAACATCTGCATATAAACCATTGTTGGCAACCTTTGGTATCTTAAGCTTAGCCAGCTCTCTCCRAGTTACAGTGGATGTGAAGTACACTGCATGAGCATCAGACTGGACAACTGGTTCACTTTCGCTAGTAAGGTCTATAGCTACAGGTTTGGTTGCGGCTTTATTAATGTGTTGTGATTCTGATTCTGAGGGGGCTGCATCTGTTTCCAGGGCATCTGAATACTCATCATCCTCTAAATGGATTGTGTCTGCTGATTGGTTTGCATCTGTGGAGGCTGACCCTGGACAGGAATCACGGTTGCTTTCCCATTCTGCATGACGGTATGTGAAAGCCAATCTTGGGTCACTGGATGAGCTTACCTTCATGCCTTTATCCTTGATAAAAGTATAATCCATGGCATCTTCACCAAAGATTTTGGTAAACAATGAAATCATTTCATCAATCCACTCCAYGTCATCTCTACTCCAGTTAACATTCTTTTTCTTCCACCCACAGCCACGAAAGTAGAACACACATTTTGCTGCAAAAAATACCAATACTCATTTACCTAGGCTACATTTTAATGTGTAAATGCTTATAATTAAGAAATTAGTGCTAATAAATTTAATTTCTTGACATGCTTGTGAGGGTTTCCCTAGGAGTTGTTTGGAGAAACAGGGGCTAATGGAGATCATATTGGAASAGGAGCCCCTGAAAGTAGTGGAAACATTTGTATTAAATTTTACTAACAACTCAATATTGTGATGGCTACTTACTACCATTTCCACTAGAGCACTCTCTTGCTTTGATGAACTGGTACCTCAAGAAAAGCATGCTCTCTGATAACCAATGGGTTAAGATTTGAGCAGCTTCGGAGAAAAAGCAGTATGTGT